AAGGAAATAGACAAAATCATCATTTGGTGACTAAAAATAATATAATCTTCATTGATAACTTGTTTTAAGAACAAAATATATAGCTCTGTGGAGTGATAACATGGTGGGAGTTTTAACACCCTATCTAGCCGCACCGATATCATCTGTGTGCTGTTGGAAGATGAATCCATAACCTTCACTTCCTTTAGCTTGTACTTCATATTTTTAACGGGCGAATGATTGTCTATCTGAACTTTATTTGATGAAAGTTAGGCATAAAACTCTAATTGCAGACTTTATAATCCCAATTGCAATCTTTCCAACAATAAGAAGCTACTCAAAAGAGAAGGGAAAAATCCCATTAACTTCAGAGCAAGAAGCAGGACGAGAATTGCTAGCTGGACAGAACTGCTGCATTTAAACTTCTTCCGACACATTATGAACTGTTAATGGATATTTCACAATTTTCATTTACTCATGATTTCTCTCGTCCATCTTTTCAGATTCAACTAGGTGCCTTCTATGCTCAAGTTTTATGAATTAACATTGTCGGACATTTTTCCAGTGCGATCTACTTAAGACTTGCATTACAAATAAAGCTCTAGTTTTATACATTGATGGAGTTGAAGCTACCTTTTCTAAAAGTGGGTCTCCACTCGATATCCAGACCAAGGATGCACTTGCCCTCTTTACTTTTCTTAGCTTCTATGAAATGAAGAAGCTCATCTGCAGCCTTTTCTACCTCTTCAACGGTTCTGCTATATACAATCCGACCTCCAAATTTCACATCTGTGTACAAAAAAGAACTAAGGCTTGGGAAAAGGGTCTGTTAAAAATTTATAGCAGCTTATAGTTGAAAAGAAAAGCAAAACGAGACTCCTTTAAATAACAGTGAAAATAACTAATTTTAATTTGATACAATTTACCATTAGTACTTCAATTTTCGATTAAATTTCTAATTTAAAATAAAAGATATTTATTGATAGGCAACGATACTTATGTACCCTATCCTTCCAGAAAAAGGTACAGCTTACGATGCATAATGTACAACCCCACCAAAGGTTCATCAGCAACAGATGTACATGCTCTGGTATATCAACTTGAGCAAAAAAAAAAGTGATCAAAAAACGAATACAAATAAATCGTTCACAAGAAAAGTATCCGGTTTCCATGTACAGCACAATAATTGTAATATTTCCGACCGCCATTTAGAATTTCAGCTAGAATGTAAAAACAGATATTAAAAATTTATGATTCTATGCGAGAGAAAAACTAATTTTATTGTACCTTGATAGGGAGAGCGAACAGTATTATCACGAGAAATAAACCGATTTCTAGAGCAAGGAGAAAAAGAGAATGATGTGTGCAGTTCTTTCCGGAATGTGAATAGAGATTCAGGCAATCGGCGGCGAGTCTTGGGAGGCGACACTGTCGAGGCAAGGTCGTTGGTGCACTCCAGCACGTGGCGCTTCTTGATTGACGAAGAGGACGATGAAGAGGAAGAGATGGTGGTGGCGGATCTGCAAATGGCGTCGATGGCTTCAAGTTCTTCGTCCGTGAAAGCCCGATCCCAATCGGAATCTGAAATGGAGGGTTCCCTTCCCATTTGGGGAGTGTGTTTGAACTTTGAAGAGGCGGAAGGCGGGGCTTTTTGTTTGGTTGTTTGGCAGGGTGTCAAGTAAGAACATTCAAATTATTTATAGCCAAACATGGAAAGTTTTGAAGAAGAATAATGCTATTTGTTTGACAATTCATGCCCCTGTTTGGCCCCCATTTTGGGGTGCTGAAAAATTTTGGAACATTGAGCGATGGGAGAATGTATGGTAGAAAAGTAATGAAAAGTTTTAGATTTGTGTGTAATATTATTTTATATGATGAATGTATAGTTGAAATAAAGAGAAAAAAAATTAATGTAATGTAATGGAAAAAATATGGGCCAAACGGCCGCATGGCAGGGAGAGCAAACAGTATTATCACAAGAAATAAACCGATTTCTAGAGCAAGGAGAAAAAGAGAATGATGTGCGCAGTTCTTTCTGGAAAGTGAATAGAGATTCAGGCAACCGGCAAGGTCTTGGGAGGCGACACTGTCGAG